CTTTGCTTTTGAATACAAGACTCCAATTGTTATATAATTTAGATTGTTAATTGATTTAGTAGTGGAATCTGATAAAATCGCTTTGAACTAAAGAAAATATCTATCATAGCTCTACCAAATATTTTTTTGTATCAAGAATCAAAAATAAAAATGTGGATATAATCGAATGGTAAAATTTCTCTTTGTCAAGGGGAAGACGCGAGTTCAATTCGCCCAGGGCAATTGTATTGTATTTAAGATAAGAGGATAAAAGATTCATTATAGTTGACTGTAATTGTAATATAATACACCCCCTAAAAAAATTACTAGTTAATAAAGTCAAGTCTAATTTTTTTTTATCAAAAAATGTTGTGGGAATGGGATATGAACTGATGACCTTAAGGTTATGAGCCTTGCAAGTTACTAAACTGCTCTATCTTGTGATGAAATGAAACCAAACTAATGGATAAACAAAGATTGAAAGCACCCCTCTAATAGAATAGCCTATTTATACAAAATGGTAAAGGAGCCCCTCTATGATCATCGATCATAGAAATAAAATGAAAAATGAAGCGATATTTTACTCCTTATCAATTTGATCTTGTTGCCAACCACCACAGTTAAATATAAAGAGACTAGCAAGGGAAATTTTATGTTAATTTGATTAGTGCATGTAAAAGCTGATGATAAAGGAAGAATTTGCCATGTTTTAACAATTTGTATGAACAATTTAACAAGGGAATAATGGGTGAAAAGGGTACTTCCGAAGTATCACGTATGAAACCTGTCAAACCAAAAACATAGCATTTTAACATTGATTAGAGGACCAGAAATAAGGCATTCCTTATTGTTGTAAAAACTCAATATACTAAAGAACTACATAATTTTAGGACATAGAAGCAAATTACAACATATATCTAATAAACATGGCTACAAGGTCCAACACTCCAAATATATGAAAAAAACATAGAAAGAAATAAGCATACTTATATCAAACACATACCCGCATCCGAAAATTTACCATTAAGTCCGAGTAACATAGAACAGGATTGCCTGTTGATAATTATGGAAGCAGAATCCAGCCATAATAGATCTTATGCATAGCTCTTTGATGTTCAAACCTTGGGTTACCTTAATTAAATAGAAAAGAAAATAGCATCATGTTTATGACATAACAACTAACAAGCTCTAATTGCTTTAAGAGAACATCAACATTTGCTTTCTAGATATGCTAGCTACTTACAGCAGATTATAGGTGTAAAGAAGTGAACTTGACACCTTCCAATAAAATGGCAGTATGAACCAAAAGGATAAACGAAATAATGGTTATTATACAGAAGAGATTGATGTTGTCTAAAGTGTCTTGTTTAAAATTTCAAGATTAGAGCCCAATTAAACAATGCTATAAATATAAATTCAGAGATAGTCAATCTGATAAAATTAAAATCACTCTATAAAATCATGAGGAGAATTAGCATAGTTTTCTCATAAGCAATGCTGATTGATTCAGGGACATTTGAAATGTAAAAACATTGTACATTTATACCTGAGTTATGTGCTTTTAATCTCCATTTTAACCATGAGCTTTTTACTAAGCACATTACTTGATAAGTTAGTCACATTGGAAGCTTGTAACACCCCGATATCATATTGGAAGATTTTGTGGATCTACTATGATATTTAAGTAAAGATTTAAACACAAAATTTGTGAGGCGCCTTTTATGAAACAAAATCGTAAGACTTTTGGATCAAAATAGATAATATCTCATAAGTTTGGTGCTATCTTCTTAAACTTAACCAAAGCTTTCCACTCTATAGAATTGTCAACATGTTGCACTAGTGGCTGGTGTTGTCGTTGATCCCTTACCAAACCGATAACATCATCAATCGAACCCAAGACCCTATCTTCATACCCAACCATAACACCTTATGCTCATGAAGTCTGCTTCGGCAAGCAGTTGAGAAAGTTTAGTTGATTAAAGAACATCTTCGAGTGGCTCAAAGTCAACAAAAAAGTTATGCAGATAATAGAAGACGTGAATTGGAGTTTGAAGTTGGAGATCATGTGTTTTTACAAGTTTCTTTGAGTAGAAGGGTTATGAGATTTGGAATTTGTGGAAAACTTAGTCCTCATTATGCGGATTCATTTGAAATTCTTGATAAGGTAGGAATGTGGTTTATAAATTGGCACTTCTACCTTATTTGGCTAGAGTACATAATGTGTTTCATGTCTCAATGTTGAGAATGTATGTTTTGGATTTGAGTCATGTGGTGGAGTTAGCACCTTTGAGACTTAGAGAAGATTTATCATATGATGAGCATCCTATAAGCATTGTCGATAAAAATGAGCAAGTTTTGAGAAGAAGAACTATTTCTTATGTTAAGGTTCAATAGAGTAATCATTTCGAAAGAGAAGCAACTTGGGAGTTAGAAGAGAATATGAAAGAGAAGTATCTTTATCCTTTTAAGAGCCAAGGTTTAAGTTTAGAGGAGTAAACTCCTTTTAATGAGGGGAGGAGGTAACACCCACAAACTTAGCCTATGGTTGAATTATATTATATGATTTATGTCTTAAAAAAACTTATTTCTTAAAATTTTATTTTTCAACCCATGTTTTGCCATAATTAAAAACTTGACCCAACATAACTTTTATTTACAATAAAAGTATATTATTAAAATGCTTTTTATTATACAGATAGTTTTATTTTACGGAGTTAAGAGAAACTAACCCTAAAAAAAAAAGAAAGAAAGAAGAAGGGTGAATCAATTCTAAAAATCTCTGATTAAGATAAGATTTTACTAAAAACTCTTGAAATTTTCATATTTTGTACAATTTTCTACAAATCCCAACCTATATTTTTGTATCTTTTTAACTTCAAAAATATGCTGATGACTTTTCGGTGATAATCTGACGAAATTATGGGTACCAATGAAAAAGACTCTGTAAGACCTTTCTAATGACATGTGTGACACTTCAATTAGTTGAGTAATTTAAAAAAAATTTAGTGTTTCAAGTTTTTGATTTTTGTGTTTCTGACAATTACATATGCCACCTTTGCACCTACAAAACTCCTTACTCACGTGTTCGATTTAGTTAGGTGCTTTTGATAGTTCAAAATGTGAACTTTCTAGTAGTACAATTGGTTTGTTCAGATGATTTATAAGTTAAGAGAATCGAAGCTTCAAAGTAGGTTTCATGAATTTGAAACCCAGAAATCTGGGTTGTTTGTAATAATTTGTCAAGTTTTAACCTTCGAAACTTAGACTTTTGAAAACCATTTTTGCCGAAAGAAAATTCTAGATTGTATTATTATATCATTACTTTAAATTCATGCCTCTCTTTGTCATTAGGAATTGTAGGATGTTCAAGTTTTTATGGCTAAAAATAAGCCAAGTGATCATAGAATGTGAAATTTTTAGAATTTAAAAATTCTTGTTTTTACTTATTTTAAAAATTGTTTTTAGCCAATATTTGATTTACTTAGTTATAAATTACATAAGTTTTACTTATTTTATTTTTCAATGAATTTTTACTTATTTTAATATATTTTAATTGTATTAATTTCATGTTATTAGTATTGTTAAATGGTTATTGAATTATATTTAGATTTACAAAAAAAATTAATTACTATTAAATGTTAAAATTAAATATTTGTTAAAATCTATATTACTTACTAATTTTTATGTTTTAATTATTAATTTCATATTTATACTTAATTGTAGACATTTTGCTAAAGTAAAAGAGAATTTGTTTTATATGTTAAAAAAATACTTTCAAATAGTTTCGAATTATTGAAAATATTGTCACACAACCGAACTTGTTTAGGATGACCGCGGAATGTTTACCTTATTAAATTTAGGATAAATTCTTATTTTTGAATATTTCTTGAATTATTAAAATACAAAGCAAATTGAGTGATTACTGCTTAAGTTTCAATTTAACGCATCAGGTAAGTGACTTGACATCTTTTTTATTTTTATACCCCTAAAAATCAACCTCAATATGTTTAAAGTTGAAATATATAATATATATTATTTTGTCTATTTGTTTTATAAATCAGGTTAAGCATGCAAAAATATATATATGAATTTCTTTTTATAAGTTTGGAATATGGTTTGATATTATTTTGATTTTCAAATATGATTTTCATTTTTGATCTTGGCTCAGTTAAAATTATTTTTCAAACTTATGATTCAATCCCGATCACTTGATCTTGGCTCAGTTTAGATTATTTTTCAAACTTATGGTTCAATCCTGATCGCTCGATCTTAGCTCAGTCTAGATTGTTTTCTTGACTTGGGATTTAATCTTGGTTGTTTGATCTTGGCTTAGTCCAGATCATTTTTCAGACTTATGGTTCAATCCCGGTTGTTCAATTTTGGCTTAGTCCAGATCATTTTTTAGACTTGTGGTTCAGTCTCGATCGTTCAATCTTAGCTCGGTCCAAATCAGTTTTTAGACTGATGGTTCAATATTGGCTCAGTCCAGATCATTTTCTTGACTTTTGGTTCAATTTCGATCGTTTCGATCTTAGCTCAATCTAGATAATTTTATTTTCAAACCTATGATTCAGTCTCAATCACCTATTTTGATCTTGATTCAGTCCAAATCATTTTATTTTTTTGATTTACGATTTAATCCCGATCACTTGTTTTAATTTTGGCTCAGTTTAGATCATTTTATTTCTTATTTTGTAGTTCAGTCTCAATCATTTTCCCATTTTAGGCATACTTCGATCACTTTTTAAATCTCGACTTTCAATCTTGAATAAAATAGATGTCTTTTATCTTCACGCAATTCTTATTTCACAGAAACTGTGCAAAGAGAGATAACTGTAAACATTTTATTTTGTCTAAAATTTTTTCAAGACAAAAAATGGGCTTTTGATAGTAAATTGGATCTGATTGTATAGCTTTGGACCCAATAGAATTTTTTAAGTTTGCTTTAATGGAATCATTGTGAAAAAGGAAATTTATGGACACAGATTTTGGATCAAATTTGAAAGTTCACAGTTTGATGATCTTAGGCTTAATTCGTGCAAAACCAAATCACCCGAAGTCAAGTCAAATTCATTCAGTTGATTCTTTCCAAACTAAAATGATTCAATCCTTATAAACAGGGCAGCAATCGAGCGAAAAAAAGAAAAACGAACCCTCACCAAGTAGTCCCCATCACAATGTGATAATGGTCGTAATTACAGATTTCATATTTGTTTATCTTTCTGCTCCTACCATCTCTCAGCCGCCCTTAACCCCTCTCTAACTTCGCACCAATAAGAATTGACAACCTGTTTCAAGAAAAATCGTAAAAAGCATGGCCATGTAAGTGCTGGTCATGGCTATATCGGCAAGCATCGTAAGCACTCGAAAGGTCTTAAAAACGTCGAAGGCATGCACCACCACAGGATCCTTTTCGATAAGTACCACTCTAGGTACTTTGGAAAAGTCAGAATGAGAAGAAAAGAAATAAACAAGATAGTTTGTGATGAGGGAATCAAAGGCACCTTTGCTATGGTGAAGTTTTTAAAACCCAACAAAGTCATGATCATCCTCCAAGGTCGATACGTCAGACGAAAAGCGATGATCGTGAAATCCTTCAATGGAGGGATGTGTGATCGCCCTTATAGCCACTGTTTGGTTACAAGAATAAAGAAGTATCCAAGCAAGGTTATCCATAAGGACTCTGCCAAGAAAACAGCTAAGAAATCACGCGTCAAGTGCTTTATCAAGCTTGTGAATTACCAACACCTGATGGCCACGCGCTATACCCTTGACGTGGACTTGAAAGACGTGGTTACCATCAATGCTCTTCAGACAAAGAACAAGAAAGTGGCTACTTGTAAGGCTACCAAGAAGAGGTTTGAAGAGAGGTTCAAGACTGGAAAGAACAGGTGATTCTTTACCAAGCTTAGGTTTTGAGTATTTTGTTAGAGTTGTTAAAAGTTTAAAAACTTTGGATTTCAAGATAGATTTCAATCTATTTCACTGGGATATTTCTGGGTTCTTTTGTTGTTATATGAGGTATTAACGTAAAAGCTTGTTCATTTCTATTAAAAAAATAATTAAATAAATCTTTTTAAATAAATTCATTAATCCTAACAAACTATTAGAGAATTTTTATAAATTTAAATTTTATGAAATCTACTAAACTATTAGAAAATTTCATAAATAAATTTTAAAAAAATAAAAAAAATAATTTTTATCTTACCAAATTATTGAAAGATTGCTTCCTAAATTAAGTCTTACAAAACTATTAGGAGATTTAATGAACTTTTTCAAAAGAATAAAATTTTTATAAATATTTTCAAATAAAATCTCATCAAACTATTAGGAGATCTGCCTCAAAGTAAATCCTGCTAAATTATATTGGAAGACTTTACTAATTTTTTTGAATAAAATATATTAATAAATCCAACGATAGAGTCTCTTTAAGGTGAGACACTAGTCTCTATAAATACTCTTAAGGTGAGAGAATTATCTTAAATTACTACCAAATTATTAGGATAATTTTAGGATTAATTTTTAATGCTAAATATTTTGGTAAAATATAAACATATTTAAGGTTTGGATAATTTGAAATCAAACTGGTATCGTCCTTTGGATGTATGCTGTAAGGGTGCTATAACCTTTTTCACGTATAACCGTACTTCTGAACTTAAAATTTGATTTCATGGATCATAATCTATTATTTAAAGATACCTAAATCAATTTTAAGACTTCTTTTTAAATGAGACAGATTCGATCAGGTGGTCAATCACACCTAAACAAAAAGATTGGTAGTGACCCTTAAAAATCATATCTAACGATAGGTTCATGGATCTATACATTATGACAAATATGATTCTTTTGACTACATAGTTATACACTAAAGTAATGATTACTATAGCATCATCGTGTGGGTGTTAAATTCTTTCAAGATCTTTCAAGCTAAATGGAATCAGCTCATCTCTTTTTTTTTTTCTTTTTTTGTTGAGGTGTCTACCACCATAACTATGCCTACGTTAAACTTTCTTTTGGTTGAGATGGAGCTACCTCCAGTAATCATATTAATCACCCCGATAATTGGCCTATTATTATTAATTCAAACTTCTTCTTAAATTAACTTGTCTCATCGAGCTTTTTTTCTTTCATGTTCTGATCTTCCCTCTCTACCCCGAATGGGCCCTCTTTAGTCTTGCCTATAGTCCATTCTAGGTTGGTTTTATTTTTTTTATCCCATAAATCTCTTCAGCTAATTTCTTTTTATCATAACTTCAATTTTATTTTTTAGGTTGATGCAATCTTGAGTGTTATGGCCTATATCTCCGTGAAAGGTATATCTTTTGATCGAATCCATCCTCGTGTTCTGTCTTAGTGGCTTTGGCCATCTAAGGTTAGGGTTTCTTTTAATTTGCATTAGAATCCTCTTTCGAGAGGTATTCAGTGTAATGTAACTTTTTTTTTTACTGGAGCTTCTAGCCCTATGTCATTTTTCTCTTAGAGGAGGATCATAGAAATCATTGCCTTTCTTACCACTGATGAGGGGGGATGAGCCTCTGTCACTTCAGTTAGTTTTCATTGTAACTTCAGTGTTTATGTATTTTTTTAGCTATCAGTAAGATGTTGGCAAAAGTTTGAGGTGGTTTTAGCGACAAAGTTAACTTTAAGTGATATTCTTTATCATGGAGTCTACTTGTCAGGGCGACTACGATCGTCGACTATTTCAGGTCTTTAACCTACAGAGTTTTTGCATTAAAACGTGTGACATAGCTCTTTAAAGTTTCATCCCTTCCTTGGTGGATTGACATCAAACTTAGAGTCGTCTTCTTCGCTCTTCGACTACTCACAAACCTGGATAAAAAAGAGTGATTGAGCTCTTTGAACATCATGATTGACTTTGATTCCAAGCTACTGTACCAGGATCAAGTTGCGTCTTTCTGTGTAGTAGCTAAATCTTTACACATTATAGCCTTGTCTGCCCCTTACATCATCATGTTAGTTCTATAAAATTCTAAATGATTGAAAGGATCAGAAGTATCATCGTAGGTTTTCAAGGTCGATATTTTAAACCTTTTAGCAAGCATCGCTCTATCAATTTCTTCGATGAATGGCGAGGTCTCCAGGAACTTGAGCTCATCTTTAAAGGCTATTGCTTTTGTTTTTAGCTCTTTTTTTATGGCCCACATCCAAGTTTTTAAATCCCTATTCGGTTGGGGTTTAGAGTTTTTTTGTTTGAATTTTTAGGTCATAGCCTGTGTTGAATTGTGGCTGAGGTAATGGTGCATTGACGTTGTGTGCTTTTCTTTTCTAGAGGCTGAGAAGGCTTCTACTTCTTTGTAGCTAAGTTGTCTAACAGCGACTTCTTGACGAGGGGTGATTAAGTCAAACACTTTCGAAACTTGGGGTGGAATTATGGTTTGTAACATTTGTTTAAGAGCCTATATTTGTTAGGTTAGGGTTTGAAATTGTTCCATGGTTAGGCCCACCTATGGTCAGGCTGATCAGATGGAATACTAGCTATGATCGATTTTTGTTCTAACTAACACGATCGTCTCTCCTTCCTCTAAGGTTTTCTTCCTTGGTAGTATTGCTTTATGCTTGGTTAATGAAAGAAAAGATTCGTTAGCTGACGCATTAAATGTTTTTGCTGAGCTCCAATTTTGGAGCTTACTTGGAAAGACAAAAACAGAGTGTGTTCTTTGCGTTTACACTTTGAAGCGTAAGTAAAAAAGAATGAAGTCAAAAAAGAAGCAAGAAAAAGAGAAAGGAAGTCAAATGGAACTTGCCTTAATAGTGCCTAGACTTTTATATTTATAAATAAGACATAAGGGATCATCAGAAAATAATAAAGATAATGTCGAATTGATGTGACATTAAATATGTCAGATTGATTTTACATGTTAAATCAATATAAATAATAAAAATACTTCTATTTGTTTATTGAAGGCTTCTCAGAGAAAAAAACTATTACTATATCTTTTTTATTATCAAATGTCTCAAATAGAAAAGTAATTAGATAAGTGTATGACGACGACCAGACTCTGAAAACTTCCCCATGAAGCATCCTTATTTGCTAAAGGGATTTCAGTATTCTCTTGATTAACGCCCTTTCTGCTTTAATCATGGCTTTCCTTTATGTCTTGAATCTATGCCTTCCGGCTGTCTTGGGGAAGATTGCGGCAGTGGTATTAGTTCCGTGCTGGGTTGGTTGAAGATCTCTTTCGCTAATTGCTATTTAGCGGTAGAAAGATTCAGGGCAAGATATGGGTCTAAAATAAATAAGCATTCAGAGAGAGCACCTTGATAGAGCCCAACAGGAAAACAATGTAACTCGCAGATCGAATTGCCATGCATGTACCATCAAACCATGGCTGGTGACGGTGGATAGCTTTGGTTCCATAAATAATACTGGCGATATGGGTTTAAAATAAATAAGCATTCTCCCTAGTTTTTTCTCATCTTACTCTTAGCAGTGACAATAATTTGAACAAGAGAGAGAATAAGTGGGAATGATAAAAATGTTTGTGGATTTGGAAAATGCTAGCAATATGAATAGTATGCAACACCTTTTATGTAATCACTTTAATAAACAAAGTGTATTGATATCTCACGAAAATATTTTCTCATCTGTTGTGTTGCTCATTTATTAAATTTTTTGGTTAAAATAGTTGTCAGTGATTGATGGAACTTTTGAAAAAAAGTAGAAAATGTGTAAAATGTGTACGGTTTTGAAACAAGAAAGATTGATGGAACTCTTTGTTTAACGAGGAACAATATGTGTACGATTTTGGAAAGAAGTAGAAAAAGTGTAAAACATAGAATAAGTGGGAACGATTAAAATGTATGTGGATTTAAAACAAAATAGAAAATTTACGTTGTTAGAAGAAGGCCATTGAAGTAATCTTATTATGAAATTTAATGATAAAAAATATAAGTGAATATCCAAATTTAAAAAAAAAAACAAAAAAAAGGGATGAATATACACTTATACAGTGCTTACAACTGAGTAACTCAAAGAAATTTGCTAAACAACAAAATAAGTGGATAAGTAAACACAATGACAGATCTTGATATTTGATTTTGAAAGAATTAAGTGATATTATATTGAATTTTATATTTTTAAGAATACATTTTATTATATTATTTATATATAAATATATATATGCAAGTAATATATTAACAAAATATATATTTTTTCAAAATTATAAATTTTATTGATTTTATAAATCAATTTATAAAGAAATATAATACATTAAATAAATAACTTCATTTAAAAACTATGACTCTTTCTTACAATTGTGAGTGATTTTCTTTTAAAAAAAGTTTAAGTAAATTAATTGTTAAATAATTTTTTTTATCAAAACAAGAAAAATAAATTATATAATTAACAGAATAAGTTTGAAACTTTAAGATTAGAAGTTAAGATTTTTTTTAACCTTATAAATAAAATGGTTTCAGTCTTACTGTTGTGTTAAAAATTACACGATAGGAAAAAAAAATCTAAAATAGAGTTAAAAGTGAAGAATGATATGGAAAAGTGGTCTGTAATCAATTAAAAAGCATTAAATTATGTTTTTTTTTTGTTACATCAAGAACAAAATTTTAATACAAATAAGAGAGATGACAGATTTAACTCGAAATTAAATTTTTAATATCTCTTCAAACGCTTTTAGTTATTAGATCAAAGATTTGGAAACATAAAATTATGTTTAATATTTGATTGGAGACCTTTAATTTTATTTAAGAAATTAAAAAGTTAATTTGACTTTTATTAAATTTATTTTATTATAATTTAATTAATTTTAAAATTTTATTGATAATGATTTGTTGATAAATAAATATATAATATAATTTTAATACATCTTAATTTCAATGAATAAAATTAAATTATAAAATCACATAAAACTAAATAAAATTAATGATTTTAATTTGAGGGGTCATTTAATTTTATCAAGTTTCGGACCTTTCGGTTGGTTTAAAAAAAATATATAGTCAAAGTTTTGCTATAGGAATCAGGTAGCCGATTTCTATATACATA